CTGTCTTCCCCAACAGCATATCAGCTGGTAAAACACAAGAAAACTAAAGGCCACCACTGCAAAAGAGGAAGACCGACAACTTCACGCCGTCACTGAACTAGACACACATGTACATGGGTACACATGTACATGTACATGGGTATACATGTACATGTTCAAGTATATGTACACTGTACATGCAAGTGCATGTGCATGTAGGCTACAACACATGTTCAGTTTTTTATTAATCGAATTTAGGGGTGGGTGGATGGGTCAAAATAATTTCGAAAAAAAGTCGAAATTTTAAAACATTGAAAATTCTGAATGGCCCCTAAGGTAAATTATAATAAAATTCATAACAAGTCAAACAAAAGTAGGTCACAAGTGAAAGGTTTTCCACTTTGACAAAAAATGCCTTTTGCCACAGTTTTTAATATAAATAGTTTGTGAGTTGACCTGACGAAGAATGACATTTCATTGACTTTATGAGTATGCGGCTTCAGGTCTGAATGAAACAGTTCACAAAAAATAGAATATTTTTTCTAATACTGGGTTTTGCCCTCACTGACGTAATTTTAATAAACACTGTATACTCGGTGTTGTAAAAAGTTCATGAAAAGAGCACTCACTGTAAATACTTGGTAAATTTAAAAATAGGGAGTGGGGGCTAGTACCATCTTCCTATGAGGGCACTGTTCAAACCAGACGATCATGGATAATATGTGGCAATTGTCAGGACGGCACAATCGCCGATGGTTGCGTGAAATTTCAAAAAGGGCACTCGTAAAAGGCTGCTGGTAACAAAAAGGGCACTGGTTTAAAAAAAAGGGCACATATTTAAAAAAAAAATCTTTTACAAAAATAGGTGGGGGGGATGGTAAATGCTGGTGTAAAAAGGGCACTTGTATACGAAAGGTAAGTCTTACTGTTACTCAGGTGGGGCTCGAACCCAGTACCCCCTGTTTAGTAGTGCAGTTGTCTTATCACTCCACCTCTGAGCTTGCCTGGGTCAGTTGGGTGGTTTAAGTCAAGGTGGGCAGGATTTACGGCGATCGTAAAGTGTAGGGCCTGGTTCCTGCAAGGGAACAAAATCCACTTTAAAATTATTGGACCTACCAAACTAGTTGGCGACATTTCTCAATGAACAGGAATGTCATAGATAAAGGACAGGATTTTGATTTTTTGAGTGAAATTTGGGGGTGAAATGACGATGACAGCGCCACGACAACACACGCCCCAAAAATAAAGATGGCGATCACCGCGCGATGTACCGTGAGCACGCACGGCGCGCTGAATCGCAAGGCACAAACCACGCAGGAAAATCATGATTTCTACCCCAAGAAACTGTTCAAAATTGCAAAAACGGGTGTCATTAGAATTGAGAAAAGACTGCTTTTGATTGTAAATGTGATTTTTGAGCTATAACACATTCTTGACTCTAATTTGATCAAAACAAAACAGGGGCCCTACACTTCATGATCGTCGGAGTTTCTGCAACCCAATATTGCCTGCACCGGAAAAAAATATATATTTCAAGTACTTAAACTGGCCAATATTTCAATTGAAGACTTGTCAATAAAGTCCACTTTTCTGTAAGAAAAGTGCACTAACTTCAGAAAAAAAGACTTGCCTTCCATCGTTTTGATTTTTGGTTATATTATTATTTTTTTGTAATTTACTCAGCTATACCTGTGCCAAATCTTCTTAAAGGTCTAACACTTGTTTGTAAGAGACTACATGTAAGTACAAACAATGCATGTCACTTATTTCTGTCATGAATAGAAGGAGATTCATGGATTCCACATGTCTGTATTCTAACAGGTTTGATGGATCCACCTGAATTTTCAGTAAATACGTATACACTTGTAATTGGCAAATGCTGAGTTAAAGGGAATATACATCATTTGCTTTTGCTGTAATTTTCATAAATGGATGAAATTGGGGGGTTGGAAATATATAGCAAATATAGTCACACTGACTTTTTTGAGGTTTTGTGTTTGAAAATGCTATAAAAACCAAGAAAAACGATCATTTTCCTGTAGTCTGGTTCCCTGACTCCATATAAGAAGAAACAGAGCCTTTAACATACATTGGGGAATTGTAAGGTCAGGGAACCAGTCTAGCTGGCTCGTACCCGTTCATAGGTTTGTAATCGATTGCAAACAAGTGTGATGGTCAATTGGGGCCAGTATTTGAAAAAAAGCCAGTTGTTTCCAACGCTGATCGGCCGATCAGCGTTGGAAATTGATACAAAAATACCACTTTTCTTGAAAATGACAGTATACCAGGTGCCATGATTTTACAGGATGCTTTACACTGTCATTCACTAACAGTCCAGCAAGGTATTTCAAAATGATTAAGTAGTTTTATTTTTTGATGTTTGCAAATGTTGTATTTTCCCTTTAACATGTACATGTACTTCATATGAGATAATGTGATGCTGTTTATATCAAATGTATAGACAGACTTATAGGTAGACCCACTAAATAAAAATCTTACCAAATAAATGAGTCATTGCTATCTGCCCATTCTGATGTCACTTACGGCAATGGTTGAAATGAACAAAGATGGCAATCTACTGTATGTATACACCCCTCTGTATCAAAACGGCACATGATGTTGAGTTCAGTTATTTGCAGTCCCGGATTCCACTTATGTAGCGCTTTGGTACGTGCTGCACGAGTAAAATCAAACACAGCATGCGACTGTTTTCTACATCTAACGAATCCAAAGGTCTATAGGCTGTTAGTGTTAACAATTTGACAGACAGGTTTATCAGAATAGTAAACAGAAAGAAGCCACAGGGTCAAGTTCTTTGTTCAACTGTTAAACTTTTATTTGAGGTTCAAATGTAGGATCAAGGATATGTTTAGTCCTCTCAAGCCAGTAGACTATAAACAGGGACATTTTTGTCAAGAGTATTGTATTTGAGCATTGACTACTCCCTCTTGTAAGACCAATGCTGCACATATCGGTACTGGCAATTATTCCAAGATTCTTGACAAATAATGCCATGTAATATGAGTACAACAACGGTACAACATGAAGTATCTTACCTGAATTGAAGTCTTTTGTTAGTTTAAAATGAAAATTTGAAACTATCCTTCTGGAAGATGGCACACAACGTAGGCAGTTTACACCGTTTGATGTGTATACAATACACTGTACACGTTCATGAATGCCTAGATGTGATTGCACACAGTGCGTAAATTCCCAGTTCTATTTTTAGAAGCTATTGGACTGAGTCCACTTGTACATACTGTACGTACATTGATGCACACATCAATGCAGGTTTCTGTGCATAAATAGCAGTCAGTGTTTCCATGACCCTGGTGCCCCAGCCCACAACAATGGAATCAGACGTCAATAATGCTATTTTGGAACTAAGCAGCCCTGGTTATTTTCAAATTTCTGCCTGAAAAAAAATGTTTTCAATTTTTTTTCCTATACAGCAATGTTTTGTTTACATTTGAATTAAGCACTGCCCTCAAAAATTGACAAACGTTATTATTATTAATTATATATTATATTTTTCAATCATTTGTCACCCAATAGTGATTCGGGTTCATGAGAGCATGGAAGAATGTATATTTTATTTTTCTATTATGAGAGCTACAAAAGTAATCCAAAGTAAAACTTTTCCTAGGAGGGTTGCAGATGGAAAATAAAAGGGTTGGGTTTTTTTAGGGGAGGGGGTGGGAGTAAGAATACAATAGACAAAATTGGGATTTGTCAGGAAAAGAAATTTTTTTTAAATTCCCAGGGCAAGGATCCTTCAAATATATATTAAGGCTGGTTGGGCTATTTTAATGTGAATATTTCTTTATGTCATCACTTGTCTAGTTCGAAACACAAAAAAATAGACAATGTTTCTACAAAAAAAGTGCAGATTTGACATGAAAACAGTTCTTCTTAAAAATTGCAACTTTGTTGTCAAACTACTTTCAGCTCATGTCTTAGATTAGGGTCTGGAAGTGATCTTGTGAAACTCATCACTAAAATTAGTGCTCTTTTCGAGTTTACCTTGAAATCAAAGATTTTACCAAGGAAACAAAACTTTTTGGGAATTTATTTTTTTTAATTACTCTAAATGATACATCAAATGGAGAAAATTGCTCCCCAACATTCAGTTTTGGAAAATTTTCCCCAGAAATTTTGAATGATTTGCCATCAAACCATGATTAGCTCCTCGTATGTTTAACTGGTTCCTAGCTGCCCCTATCGCGAACAATAATGTAAATGCTAGGAAGGAGTCTCCTTGCATTGTGTATTTGTGCACAAAATTAATCCAAAATAAAAGCCTTTTAAAAGAGGGTTGCAGCTGCCCTAAAATAGAAATTTTACATAAATTACCTTGTTGTTATCCTCACCATGCAAACTTCATTCTTATCTTATCAGAAACAGTTTTGAATAATGCAATTTGATTTTGACGTCAGCCATCAGCGAAAAATATTCTAGACCCGAAATCAAACCAGAAAGGACCAAAGTTTCAATTCTCAAGACTGTTATGACTTTCTCTCTTGTCTTTCTTTGTTAAATAGTGTTCAGATATTCGTGACTCAAATTGACTTGACTAAATTGGCTAAGTATTTGACTTGACTCGACTCGATTCAACTTGAACCTTTTTGACCTAATGACTCAATTCAACTCGACTCACTTTTTTTAAATGACTCAACTCAACCTTTTGGACCTATAACTGGACTGGACTCAAGTCACTTCTTTAAAATGACTCGACTCGACTCAGTCGATTCACTTCTTGAAAATGACTTGACTCGACTTGAGTCACAAAAAACAGTGACTCATTACAACTCTGCTGAGGAATGACAAGGAGATTCTGATCCAGGAGATAATAAATTATAAAATGAGTCCTTGGCATTGTCAGCAGCAGCCTTTGTGTAATGTTGGCTAAATGTTTAAACATGTAAACACTCAGCATAAATGCTTACAAAAATGAACATGGATGAACATTATGTACAGTATTGTATTAGTAAAATGTGATGTTTTATCCTTTCCCCCAGGTCAAGCCCATGTCTCCAAAAGTGATGATGATAATTCCAGCTCCTTGGGTCCGACACCAACATCCCCTCTAGAAGGACCAAGACTGCATGGTCAGCTACACCCGAGATGTGACACATGACGCTCACCAGACCGGCTAAGGTTGGTGCTTATTGGGTCAGTCACTACTGAACACCATTACCACACTGCAAAAACAGATAGACAAGCAAGACCCTGTGGAGGAATTCAAGGTGACTTTGGGGTAAAACTTTGGTTCAGTGAATATTGCAAGAACTCACAACTTGAAAAGTCTCCACAAAATGGCATGAATTTCTGTAGTATATAGAATTTCAAGTGAGGTTAGGCCAAAAAAAAGAATAGTTCTGCTTCCGGTTACCCGACCAACCCTATTTTTAGGCTGCGACCCTAAACATTTTATCGGTAATTCAAAAAAAAAAAAAAAAAAAAAAATTGAATAAATAAAAATAAAAACCTTATGTCTTGTCTGTCTTCACAAAATACCTCTCAACAACCCTTTTGCATCAAAAATGCTTGTATTTATTGTTTTCTTACTTACATTCGCTATTTTTTCAAAAGAATTCCTCCGTTATTTTTACAAATTCGCTGCGCGATTCAACTACTTCGCAATTCGATGTCTATAATCACGTGCGTAATAAGCGCAATGCGGCGACGACTGGTTCCCGCCGCGCCGCGCAGGGGCCAATTATGAAAATGCGGTAACTAGTCTGTGCAGTGTGAGTATAATGACTCACCGTACACAGAAAACAAATTGCCGATCACATTTTCAGCCGCCGATACACACAGTAATATTACACACGCCATTTGCATGCACAACATAATCGTTTACACGATATTATTTCATCTTGACACGCTAAATCTTGACGAAAAGGCCTATAATTCTGAGCCATGCCGCTGTCGAAGCCATGCCGCTGTATGATTTTCCATGCGGCAGCAGTACCATCAGTATTCGTTGGTTCCCATCGCATGCTTACAGAATTGAAGCTATGATGTGGGCCAGGAACCAGTGACTACGGCCTACGTACGGTACCGGACCATGATGTTCCGTGCATGACTACAGTAGCGTATCAGGATGAATTTGGATCGTAGAAAATAACATACATTGGTGGAGAAAGAGAATTTCCGCAAATTAATTCTCAGAACGTGATCTCTCTTCTCTGTGTATGTATTTGTCCGTTGAAATATATATTTTAACGAGATTTTACCGCTCGGACTTGATGATACACCGCAGCGTGTTTCTACAAAATGTTCGGCCACTGCACGTGCAGGTTCGTGCGGTCTCTGTATGCATAACAGGGCACTTGGGCTGGATGTACGCTTTCCTGAGCCGCTTTTACCGACTCGCACTGTCCGCACTGGACTTATCGTCTCGGGAAAAGTGACCTGGTCAGTTTTCCTGGGCGCGTGGGAAGTTTTCCTGGGCAGCAGTTGGCCAGTAAAAGTAACCGCTGGACTCAGGAAAAGTAACCGAGAGGAAAACGTCCTAGGCTGTCCGCACTGGGCTTATGGAATATCCCCGTATGCAGCAAGAGTCCATGATATGCGACTATAATGCGAGCAGATTCTGCGATTATTGTGCAAAACAAGTCTGTGTCTTGACCTTGAGACCGTTCAGCGGGCGCCTTCTATGTCGGGTCTTCGTTAACCTGTTGTCATGTACATCTAATGAAACCTAGAGACAACATCCATTATGCTTTTACATTGTGAATTGTGTCAGCAAAAATAGGCTGTGTCATGATAGCCTGTAATGATATGTTACGTGATGCGCGAGTGTGATCTCGAATCATCATCACATCATATTTTAAATAACGTGCGTAATGAGAATGCCCTCTGGCATGTTCACGTCTCACCCACGTCTCAACCACAATGAGCGTTCACGTATGCTAACAGTTTTGGAAGCCAATGTCGGGTTTTATTGGATCTCTATGTCTGTGTTGTATTACAAAAACATGGCGTCAAAATTGACCAATAAACAGCTTAGTTCAGATTTTGGAATGAAATGACTTCATATTGACTTCCGGTTGGCTGGCACGCAGGGTCGCATAAAATTTGCGTGCTTAGAGGTGTCAGACATTGGACCAGAGACAGAGAGGGTGATACAACGGGTGATACTCAGACTAGTGTTAAGGCTTCATTCCTGCTAAACCATTTTGTATTTCAATTTATTCAGAAAAGAGTGGACTGCAACATTAGGCAATTAAAGGGGGTTGATTCCATTCAAACCTTTTATTGGTTAGTAACTAGTTTAATTGTAAATATGTAAGGGACTGTTAAAACTTGATGTGACGTTACAATTCTTCGTTACAACGTTGACGTTACAATTCTTCTTGATGTGACGTTACAATTTCTTTATACCTTTCATTGGAGTAACTATGGGCCACGTGTCTCTCCCCCACCCCACTCCATTTGAAATCTTGAATTGCACACAACAAATGTTATATGTTACCTTCCTTGCCCCCCCCCCCCTTTCAAAAAAAATTCATCAACCCCCAGGTGCCCCCTAGAAGCTTAACCCTAGTATCGCTGCTGGTACCTTAAGAAAGTTCCAGATCACGTACATTTCATTCCCATAGAATGTGCGATATTTATAAGTTATCTATAGGTGTGGTGGGTTCTTGACTGCACCCTCGGCAACCATATGATATCAGTTCCTCTACTTTTAGATGTCAAGTTTAACTGTCTTTACGCCCATAATTTAAAGAAATATTTGCTTTCAATATTTTTTGTATAAGCATGCCCTAACAATGCTATTGCTAGACATTCAGTTTGGAAATAAACAATTCCATGCTCTGATTTTTCCCTTGTAAAGTGGTTGCTAAGGTGCCAACAAATTTTGATCATTCGTGTGTCACTTTTTCGCTTAGGATTTCTAAACATTTGAAGTTTTCACAGGACAACAAAATACTCAACATAAAACCTTTATCTTTAACACATAAAAAGATTTCCTTTTGCTACATTTTTTTGTTCTGATAAAAAAGACAAATTTTCAATGCTGAGTAAACATTGTTGTAGTGTTTGAATTTTTTTGCTCGCGATATGTGGTACTAGACCTCAACAAGCCTGACTAATTTTCTAAGATCATAGTTACATTCTCAATATTTTTTGAGAGCATTTGGACAATATTCAAATGCGGTCAATCAGGAGATAAAAAATCAAGAGAAAATGTGTTCACAAATCTGATTACTTGATAATCCCCTCTACCATTATGTACAATTATAAGTGTTGGGGAAACCACTGATGTTATGTTTTGTCGAAAACAAAAATGGTCCTAAATATAAACAAACGACATCTGAGAAAAGATGGTTGTTTCATGAAATCACTGTTGCTATGTTCTCAGAAAACGTTTTTGAAAATGTCTTCGACAAAATATACAGTGAATGAACTAACTAGTGATACAATAACAACGGCTTCCAAATTAAGTGGTCTATAAATAATAAAATACAAATATATCTTTTTGAGTCGCATCATTGGTGTAAAACAGGCAGCCCTCATTATGTATGCAAATAACCCTAGGAGCAGAGTTGTAACAGGCCCAGTGGAAAATGCTGCTGAAACGTATGTGAGATGCTGATTGGTAAATAACAGACTTTGGATCTTGGCTGAAGTGCCATTGTTGTCATGGAAGCTGCGTTCTCTTGGAGAGATATTCTCTAATTAAAGCAAATGCTCATTGCTTCATTTAGACTTCTTGGTCTATCAGCATGTAGCAAACCAATACTTATTCAAAGAAGCAAAAGCCTCAATCATTTATGGAATAAACTAAACTATTATTGTACTGATACGGAACCTCTCACAAGTAGGTTATTCTATACATTTAGGGTCAAAGTCTGACATTTTTCCTGTTCCTGTAACCTCCGAAATTATCGTTTGCCTTTCAAATGTCATTAAAAATGACTTCAAACTGATAATATTTGTTGGGTGGGTCATTTGATTCACAGAAGCATTCTTGAAGGAAGGGTGCACAAGTAAAGGAGTGCATCTTCACTTACAAAATCGTAGATGCCAGATGCATAGGGAGAGGAAAAAGCAGACACCAAATTCATAAAATTTTCCAAATGCATCTTCTTCGTAGTATTTAAAAAAAAAAAATCACATTTGAGAAAGGCAAAAAACCCAAAATATTTGAGTTTACAAGTATTCAATTTACAAATGTACATCCATCATACTAACCACATTAACAAACATCAATGTATCATTGCAGTAGAATGCACAAGGTTTTCATTTTCAACTTGGTTGTCAATGTAATGAAACTAGTATCAATTTGATGAGGCACTCAGAAAGCACTGTGAAAGAGACAACCAAGGGATTGCATGTAGCTTACTATTCAACTTTCGCTTTAGTTCAAAATCACACACATTTCATTCAGTTGCTTTTGAGTATTTATTCTGGTTTGTGTACGCGGAGGTGCAAAATCTTTCTCATTCAAAAGTAAGTTGCATTAATTTAAACTCAACGATTTTCCCAATGTAATTGAAGAATCGAATAACAAAATTTAAGAAAATTGTTTACATATTACACAGTAGTAGGGTTATATCTTATACTTGGAAAACACCTCATGCATTGACTTTGTATTTGCTGAGATGAATCTGAGAAAATTGCCTCTTGTGGTAATACTTTGCCTCTCGTTTGTAATATTGTAACGTCTCTCTTGGGTGAGAGACATTATCATATAAGGAGTCAGATACAAATATCTTACACACACACTAGTACTTTATTTGGGATTATTTACATCTCAGGTCAATAGAGGGCGCACTATATACAATGTAGAGTTAAGGCGTACATGATTATCTGTGTACAGACATGGGTCTATGGCCAGCGAGCTGGCAGCTTGATAATCTACGTGTACATGTCAGGAACTCTGTCGGGGTCAGAGCCCAGATCAACAATCTAATGCAATTCTGCGCGCTTTATATACACTTTTGGGTGCGCGTCTTAGCCAATGGGAGCATTGTATTCTGGTAGTTATGAATAATGCATCCGTGTACAAAGGCATGGGGAAAGTTCTCTATGGGAGTTTTGTACACGACTGACTTAGACAATCTACTGGAAGAAAGTCCGAGAGCAGTGGTTAGCGGGCGATCGTAGGATCACTCGTGGGTGCCTTACGGGGAACTGATCCTCAAGGAAAAGGGACAGGGAATAATTTTCTTGGTACATAGGGTTGTGTACAAGACTTAGTCTCTAGACTAGGTAGGAATCTACACACTAATGCTATGGAGTAAAACTATGAGATGAAGGACGTAACCGTTGACCTCTAGCTACCGTAGGTCTCGGCCAGTGGGTTAGCGGGACACACTCGCTGGGGTGTACGGGTTCACTTAGGGGTGAATACACGGGTAGGTTTTAGCGAGCCACATTCGCTAAATGCTTGGTGTCAATGTGGGTCGGATGCGAGGTAAGGTGTGTGAGGGGAATTCGCATCGACTCCGGGGAAAGGTGGAGGGAAAATGGCTAAGTCCTAAGTACATGTCCCATGACGGTACATGTTCAATAGCAGTGAGTGCTACATGCATTGCGCGCTATACAATAGCGTACTGTACAATGTGCTGCACACTTCTACGTGTGTCTAAAACTTCGTTGTAAACTTCGCGCTGTGTGAGGGCACACAGGATCGCTGCAAGCATTACGCTGTGCATGGAGTGGAATGGATTGGTGGGGAAAGAAGTAAACTACGCAATTTGCGGGAACGCAACACTATCTTATAGCATTTATGTTTCCCAATCATCAGGGATGTCAGTGCGAAATATGCATCTATATATACATGGAGGTTCTGAATAATCAACACATTGTTTTGATGGATTCGCCTTTGAAAATGTTAAACTGTGTTTTGTCTTGGTGACACTGGAGTAGATTTGTACAATGTCCTCTCCAAACATGATTAGGTCATTGTCTTTTGTAAGTATCATCCCATCTGGAGTTTCGCATTTCTTGATCACACATCCCTGGTACTTGCCTTTTGGACTGTAATAGTGAACCCGACTTGAGTGTAGGTCCTTGGTGACAGCCACAAAGATTCCGCCTTCGCTGTCGCAACACACTTGTGATGGGTTGCCAATGTCAGTGTCGTCAATAGCTGGAATGCGGGTGCCATTGTAGTCCACTGCTTGCAGCCCCTCTGAGCTGGTGTAGATGACACGCTGATTGCTGATGGCTATAGACCCCTCCAGCTTTGGTGCTGGCAGTATTCTGATTACACTTCCATCTGGGTTGTGCAGGGCTACTTTGTCACGCTGAATACCCACTGCTATCAGATTTTTGTTGTCAACAGCAAGACAAGTTGGCCACATTAAATCACCTCCACCAGGTTTGAACTGACAGAGCAGCTGATATTTCTGATCCAGGACCTTGACATTGCCTCGATCCAAGACAATGAGCTGATTGTCCTTGTTTACTGCAACGCGCCATGGACGTTCAAGACATGGGATGTCCTGCTGTGTGCTTGGGGCATCGAGTGGGAAGGAAATCAACTTTTCCCTCCTTTGGTCTACCACAACTATTTCATTGTTTGAGAAAGCTGCAACGCCAGATACCCCATTGAACATGTTGAAGAATTCCTCTGAATTAAACCTTGGTTTTTCTATTCTCAGTTTCCACCTCTTTGTTTTACTCATACTAACAACCATTTCTGGCTTGTTATCCAGCACCAAACACCCAAGGAAACATTCCTCGGCTTCATTAAAGTCCAGCATGGCCAGTCTGTCAGACACTGTCTCGAGCTTTTCTCCCATCAGATCTTGAAGATTACTCACAACATTCTGACGAAGACTGAGAATGTCCCAATACCTTTCTTGAGTCATGAGTCGGTTCACCACCCCCAGAGTGTGCTGTACCTGGGCCACCATTTTGCTGTTGTTGACCTCTGCTTTCTCAAACGTCTTAACTCGATAGTTGTAGTTTTTTTCCAAGTCTTGTAGAAGTTCTTGCTCCTGCTGCTTGATACGGGCAACTTCCTTGGCAGCTTTTTTGGAGATTCTGTCTCTGGTGGTTGCATATGTGACATCTAAAGTCTCGCGGGACTCATTTGTATCTTTTATGGCAGAACTGTCAGCTGACATTTTCTTGTCAACTGCAGCCACCAGCTCAGCAACTTGATCTTTGCATTTTTTCGCAGCCTCGGGTAAGCTAATGAGGCTGTGTTTTGGATTTCCATGTTCCAACAAAGTGCATGATGTACACAGCAACTGCTCGCAGGTGTTGCAGTAGACATTGAGATTCTGCTCTGGATGCTTGACGCATTTGGGAACTTCTTCTCTTTGTTTACTCTTGTAGACAATCTCTCCTGATCGAAGTTGAGCCAAGGTGTAGATTTTATGAGATTTCATGACAGTCATACGCCCATGAGCCTTTTGACATTCTTGACAGAGGAAATTATCGCAGTCCATGCATCTTGAAATAGCCTGATTCTCCTCATCACAGTTTTGACATTTGATCTCTGACCCTTGACCTTCCAGTAGCTTTTCCTGCATTGTAACTTCCTCCACCAGGGCACTGAATGCAAAGTTACTAGGGAGATCAGCAACCCCAGACCCTTTCAACGTGGTTTCACATCTGCACAGAGGACATGTCAGCTTTGTAACAGGAGGATCTTGGCTTTGTCTGAGGTCATGGAGGCATTGCAGGCGAAAACTATGCAAACAGTCCAGCAGTTTGGGCTGCCTGAAACGGTTGGTGCAGATGGAGCATTCCAGATGATCCACACTAATCTTCTCCAACACTGATTGCACTGTAACTCTAGATGCCATCTTCACTGTTGGGATTGGTGTGATGTGATGGACTTTTAACCTACAAATGAAGCACATTAATTAAAAGGTTTTGGAATTAGATGTATTTGAACTTCACATGATAATTTGGATTTAAATAAGTTAGATGTAAAGTTGAAAACTGTTTTTGTCATGTAGAGTATTCATAAAATTGAAGGTTTATTCACATACTTTATATGCTTGTTTCAAACGTGATGTTAGTTAGTTTTTTTCCCCAAAGAAAATAGCAAATGGTTGTAACAAATGTATAATTGGGTTACCCTGTTAATGTAAGAGCTTATTTTCGTGGGACATTTTCTACGCCTAAAATGTAAGTTGCATTAAAGTTCATTACAAGTCAAGCAAAAGTAGGTCACAAGTAAAAAAGGTTTTCAATGACAGAAAAATACCTCGGCACAGTTTGTTTTACAAATTGTTTTTGAGTTAACCTGACAAAGAATGACTTTTCATTAAACTGTATGAGGACATGGCTACAGGTCTGAATGAAACAGTTCACTAAAAATAAAAGTGTTTTTTTCTAAGACTGGGTTTTGCCCCACACCGACGTAAACACTGTAGGCCTATACTCAGTGTTGTAAAAAGTTCACAAAAAGAGCACTTGCACATCCTGCCCGTAATAATGGCCTCTGTCAAATAAATAATTTAGGGGGGCTCGACTTCCTATTGGGGCGCTGTTCAACCTGGACGATCGTGGACAATATGTGGCACTTTTCAGGGTCGCACAATTGCCGACGTCGTGCGAAATTCAAAAAAGGGCCCTCGTAAAAGGCCGCTCACAAAAAAAGGGCACTTTGAAAAAAAGGCACCCTTTATAAATATAGGGGAGGGGCTAAACGCTGGTGTTAAACGGGGAATTGTATACAAAAGGGCGGTCTTACTGTTACTGAGGTGGAACTGGAACCCACTACCTCCTGTTTATTAGTGCAGTCGTCTTATCACTCCACCTCTGAGCTTGCCTGGGTCTGCTGGGTGGTTTGAGTTGAGGTGAGCATTAGTCTGCAACCAAATATTGTCTGCACCGAAGAAAAAAAAATATTTTAAGTACTTTAACTGGCCCATATTTTCAATCATAGACTTGTCCAAAAAGTTCACTTTTCTTTAAGAGAAGTGCACTCATTTATCATTTTCTTTTAAGACTTACCTTCAAATCATTTCTATTTTTTGTTGCTTAATTATTATTATTATTATTTTGTGATTTGCTAAGCTATACCTGTGCCAAATCTTCTTAAAGGTCAAACACTTGTTGTGTAAGACTACATGTAAACTTGTACAAACAATGCATGTCACTTATTTTTGTCATGAATTCAAGGAGATTCATGTAATCCACATGTCTGTATTCTAACAGGTTTGACGGATCCACCTGAATTTCCAGTAAATATGTATACACTTGTAATTGGCAAATACTGAGTTTACATGTACACGGACTTCACTAGATAATATGTTGCTAGTGACTTAATTATATCAGATATATAGATGGGCTTGTAGGTAGACCTACTATATAAAAATCTTACCTTCAGGAGGTACTATGAATGAGCCACTACTATCTGCCCATTCTGATGTCACTTACGGCAATGGTAGAAATGAACAAAGATGGCGATGTACTGTACATATACGCCCCTCTGTATCAACACGGACCATGTAACATGATTTTGAGTTCAGTTATTTGCAGTCCTTGGATTCCACTTATGTAGCGCTTTGGTACGTGCTGTACGAGTAAAATCAAACACAGCATGCGACTGTTTTCTACATCTAACGGATCCAAAGGTCTATAGGCTGTTAATATTAACAATTTGACAGACAGGTTTATCAGAATAGTAAACATAAAGAAGCCACAGGGTCAAGCTGAATTTCATGGCAAATGACATTTGTTGTAAATATCTTTTGATATGTCGCAATTCAGGAAACTCAAGTCTGTAGTATAGACAAAAGTAAACTAATAAGAAAGCGGTACATGAAATGAACCGACAGTAAAAAGTTTTGGAATCTAGTTTTGTTTGGTTGGTTGTGTTTTGTTTACTTTCTATATATTTATCCACATTTTAGCGAGTGTGCAATTGGTGTTTTACATTACACTCAATGGCACTACGCTTGCATAGTGCCATAACTAAATTTGTTATTTCTTTCAGTGATTTAGCATCAGTGCTTCGTTACAAAATTTCCAAAACTCACCTTTTTAAAGCTTTCTCTTTTATCAGTAATATACATGCATCCCAATTATTAAATTCATGCAGCGCTTAATTTGAATATTCATTCATATTTTGTGCCTTCCGTAGGCTGATTGGTCCATTGCTGAGATGAATGCTGAGATTGGGGAGAGCCACGCCTACCTCTACACATCACAGACTGATAAACAGGTAACACAACATCAATATGTGATGTCAGTCTATTTGAAATCTGTATATGGTTGCTCAAGATGGGCAGGGTGTTCATGCCAGTTTTCAGGATATAGCCTGAAGTCAGGCTTTTTTCATATTTTGGAAAAACAAACTCAGGCATTCCGTCCCTTCACAGACCAGAAATAAAAATCATCAACGCCATGCTATAGCTTGATACATGATTGTATGAATTGTAAGTTCAAAGAAAACATACATAATATGTACGCATATGATTGTGTGGTATTGCAATGTGTTTACAATGTGTTGGCATTCCTTTGTTATTGTTCAACTCCTGTTACCTGTGACTGAACTTGTAAAGGGACTTGTGATTTACTAATAAAAGGACATGTGATCTTGCTTGTAATCTTGCTTGTAATTGAGGAACGAGTTGAAGCCTTGGGCTTATATGACCCATCGAATCTTGGTCAGAACTACTCTGATCTGAGCTTAAAGAGGGCATGTGGTTGCAGAATAGAAATAACACAAACGAATAGCACTTGATGAGATACAATCAATGATTAATATCTTGGAGTGAATTTGCACTTGTGGAACTTCCAAACATTATTGACATTGCTATTAAAAGAACTATGGACTTGTGATGGACTCACTACAACATTGACTGTAATTCAGCATATTTTGGTTCCCATTTTCTTTTCTTCCTATATAAATTTTTTTTTCTTCAAAAGTAAACAGTGTATTGACCAGGGTAGTTCCCCTTGATTTCTGACATCTCTGAACAATATGCAATAAATTTCCTTTTTAATGTGAAGCATTTCAAGAATTCCACCAGAACATTATCTGGCACAACTATTCTTTATAATAATGTTATATTTCATAAGCACTGTGCTATCTGAGAGTGCTCTGGAAAAAAACAATCACATGTTTACTCAGGTTTAATTGGATTCGAACCCATGACCTCCTGCTATTAGAGTATAAAATGAAATGACAGAAAATATAAATCCTCTTTGTTTCACCCCATATTTCAAAATAAAACAACTGCAAAATTAATAGAGTATTTAGTTCAATTCCACAAAACTTTCAACACACTGCCAACAGCCTTGTTAATAACTTACTGTTTCTTTATTTTTTTTAATATTGCTCTGTCATTTTTGGATTTCATTCACAAGCTGGTGGTGCATGAGATCCGTGTCTCGTGGACAAGGTTTAACAGAGATGCGGTGCTGGGACTGTATGACACCTACAACAAGTCACAGGTAAACAGTGCCGTTCAGTGTGCAGGCCTAAACAATGTGGCTCATTTTAAAAATCAAAAAAGTTCTCATTGGTTACTTGGGGGCAGTATTTGAAAAAAAAAGGAATTTTCTTCCCAAAGCTGGGCGGCCGACCGGTGTTGATAATCAATAAAAAATACCACTCATCTTGAAAATGTCAGTCTAGTAAGGTATTTGATAATAATTTGGTAGGTTTGGGTTTGTGATGTTTGCAACTGTTGTATATTCCCTTTAAGGTTTCATGTACATATTACAGGAAAATAAATAGGTTGGTGGTACTCCAAAGATGTAACAAAATGTTATTCCCCCAACGCCAATTCCATCTCAAAATAAATGTTCTCTGTCTTGCTTTGGATGTGATCAGTTGAGCTGGAGAACAGCCAAGTCATGCCGAAAGGCTGCGAAGCATCAGGCTTTGTCATCGTCTGAGCGTCTAGTGCCTAGATCATACAGTGTTCCCACTAACCAGCCTGGAGGGAAGGGTACCTGACTAAGAAGACCAGCTGGGTGGGCAAGCTGGATGGACTGCAGGTTAGAAGACTTTGAGTTCATCAATTAGAAGTGTTGCCCTTACTTCCATTGCTTTGTGCATCTCATGCAGCTTACTGTATATAGTGGAATGTTTGGATAGTTTCTAAATTTGATGACTCCTAAACTATTGGCTGTTTCGGCAACTTGGTGAAACAGCCATTTTTTTTGTTATTTTTGGTGTGATGGCTGAACACTACTTGTAAGTTGTTTGTTGTGTCACATTCCGAGCAATCATATATCAGACATGTCAGATTGCAGGTTTTTTGGGGAGGTATAATGAAAAGTTTGGGGCCCAAACGCGCAAAAGATCAATGTGTGTGAGACAGCTCCACAGCTTGCCCAATTGACCTTGCGGTTTGCATACCACATGCAATACGCTGGACACGTGCACTCACACAACTGACCTCTGCAAGAAATCCAGTCATTGGGGGAAAACTTTGACGAAAAAATGATCAGTGGTTTCTTAACCAATGAAATTGAGTCTTACATGAATGGAAAGAGAACTTCATCTTCTTTACAAAACCGCTACCCCCAGTGTGCTGTGACATTGGGCTCTTGAGATACGTTGAGATAAACAACCAAAGGTCTGTCACAAACGGTCATTTTCTGTTCCGCTCCATTGGCAATTGCCTCAGCCCCCACATTTTCAATAAGAAAATGATCAGTGGTTTATCTGCCATTCCAAGCCAGATATAGATAGACTTGAAGCCATAAGAATGAATTTTCATAATCTGCAACCACCAGATTTGTGCGACCGTCTGTTCTGAAGATACAAGGAATTTGGTGTCAAAATTTAGTGTCAAATCTTTGTGGTCATTTCCCTACGTTAAAGCTTGTGTGGACATTTCCTGTTGAGCAGAAGCGCGCTACTTTTCATTATGAAAACTGGGGTTAACACTTGTCTCCTGACGACAGACAGAGTATGCTGTCCAAAACGTTGAGTTAAAACCGGTTCTTCCCGGAACCACCACACACTCACAAAAGAGATTAATTTCACATGGTGCCACCTCAAACTTACCTTGCTGTTATCCTCACCATGCAAACTTCATTCTTATCTACGATGTAACAATACAATTGTTGACTGCTGTGATGTGGGATATGCCGTTTTGAACCCCCTCGGGATGCATAGCACCAGAGGTGATATGCACACCTAGGGTGTTGTCATATCCCACATCACACCAGTCAACAATTGTTAATTGTAACTGAAGTCTGACTAGAAAGAGAAAAAGTAATGAAGTATATGTGTTGTCAATTTGTTCACTTTGAAATGTAGGTGCTACATGTACATGTATATGAAATGTCAGTGGCAGTCAACTGTGAGGAAGCCAAGAAACCTGTCTGCGAAAACAAGAACAGATTCCCCAATGTACTTCCATGTACAGGTAAGTTCATTTTGTAGAAAGTAAGATTTGAGGCTTTGCATGGTGAAGATACTATAAAATAATGAAAGGTTTGCGGAAACACCATGGGCGAATAATTTCTCAACTAAGAGAATGGTTCTGAAAAGAACCAGAGGTATAAACTCGACGTTCCGGTCAGTATGCTCTGACCGTCTTCAGGAGAGTGCCTAAACTCTAAGAAAGTGAATACTTAGGTAGCAAAAGGTGAAATCAATGGAGTGTGAAGTTGCATCCTGTGGGGATGCCAAGTAGACAGGATCCCTGAGCAAGCTTAGTGCCCACTGAAGTGGAACAGTAGGGTTGCAGTGTCAGTAGAGGGAGGACCTAGGGTATAGGAGACCCATCAGTCTAAGGTAGTAGCTGAGGACCTAGGGTTTAGGAGACCCATCAGTCTGGAGAAGTGGGAGCCAGATGTCGTTGAGGTGAAACCCGATGTCTTGCGGAACTGTGTTGTGCTTGCGGATCTCGATGGCTTCCCGTATGCGTCTTGGATGCCAGAACTGGATCGGTGCGATGAGTTCGGCCGCATCCCAATCAACTTTGTGGTCGTTGATGTGGGAATGTTTGACAATGGCCGATTTGTCAAAATCCCCTCGCCGTCCATGTGCTCTGTGTTCCTTGAGCCTAGTGGGAAGGTTCCGACCGGTTTCGCCGATGTAGACTTTGCCGCATTCGCATGGAATGCGGTAGACTCCCGGCTTGGAAGAGGAGTCCTGCTTGTCCTTTTGAGTATGGAGGCTGCCTTGTAGCTTGTTGCCAGATGAGTGGTACACCTTGACGCCGGCTTGCCGGAGGATGCGTTGCAGATGATGAGAAGCTGGACCTATGTAAGGAAGAGTGACTGAGGGAGATACAGTGGGAGGACCTTGGGTATAGGGGACCCGTTGGTCAGGTTTGCTGATCTTGATGCGGTTGGGTTTGTAGCCGTTCCGTTGTAGTGACGTCTGGATGTGCTTGAGTTCACGCTTGAGGTTGTCTTGGTCGCAGACCTCAAAGGCTCTCTGTACTAGGGTGCGGTTGACCGATGACTTGATGCTGGGGTGATGGAACGACCGCTGGTGGAGATAGCGGTCGGTGTGGGTGGGTTTCCTGTAGACGCTGTGTCCCAGGGTGCCATCTGGATTCCTGGAGATCTTGACGTCCAGGAAAGGAATGGTGCCATGCTGTTCTTGTTCCATGGTGAAGCTGATGCTGGTGTGTTGCTTGTTGAGGTGCTGGAGGAAGTCTTGGAGTGTGTCCGGGCCATGGGGCCACACTACGAAGGTGTCATCAACGTAGCGTAGCCACAGGCTCGCCCAGCTAAACCTAATCTGACCAAAACAGAGCGGTTCGCTGTCAGTGACCTTCGCCGAGACAACTCCATCCACATCCTCACAGCGGACAAGGGCAACGCCACCGTCGTCATGGACAGGGAGGACTACAGCAACAAGGTAAAAGACATACTTTCTTCTGGTTCATACCGCCCACTCCCCAAGAACCCCATCCCTGCCATCGAGAAGCGGGTTGCCAGCCAACTTCTCCTCTTGCATCGAGCAGATGCATTATCCACCCCCCTCTACAGACGACTCAGACCCTCCAGTTCGATCTGTCCCAGGTTCTTTGGTCAACCAAAGATTCACAAACCTGAGATCCCTCTGCGCCCCATAGTTGCCTCTCGAGGTTCCCCCACTTACCACACAGCCCAACACTTAGCCAAAATCCTCAGACCCTTGGTGGGTCAGACACCACACCATGTGTCCAACTCTCCCCAGTTTGTCAGCATCACCAGAAACCTCACTGTCCAACCCACTGACTTGCTTGTCAGTTTTGACGTCGTCTCACTCTTCACCAATGTTCCCACAGGCGAGGCCTGCAAACTAGCTAAGGAAAGACTTGAACATGATACCACTCTCGCTGAACGCACAGACCTGTCCCCCGACCAAATTCATGATCTGTTACTAACATGTATTTCTTCCAGTTGTTTTCAGTGGCAAGGCAAGTTCCACGAGCAAACGGCTGGGACCTCCATGGGATCTCCTTTATCCCCGGTCCTAGCCGACATCTTCATGGAGGAGTTCGAGTCTTCCTCCCTACTCACAGCGGATCTTCGGCCGAGCCTGTGGCTACGCTACGTTGATGACACCTTCGTAGTGTGGCCCCATGGCCCGGACACACTCCAAGACTTCCTCCAGCACCTCAACAAGCAACACACCAGCATCAGCTTCACCATGGAACAAGAACAGCATGGCACCATTCCTTTCCTGGACGTCAAGATCTCCAGGAATCCAGATGGCACCCTGGGACACAATGTCTACAGGAAACCCACCCACACCGACTGCTATCTCCACCAGCGGTCGTTCCATCACCCCAGCATCAAGTCATCGGTCAACCGCACCCTAGTACAGAGAGCCTTTGAGGTCTGCGACCAAGACAACCTCAAGCGTGAACTCAAGCACATCCAGACGTCACTACAACGGAACGGCTACAAACCCAACCGCATCAAGATCAGCAAACCTGACCAACGGGTCCCCTATACCCAAGGTCCTCCCACTGTATCTCCCTCAGTCACTCTTCCTTACATAGGTCCAGCTTCTCATCATCTGCAACGCATCCTCCGGCAAGCCGGCGTCAAGGTGTACCACTCATCTGGCAACAAGCTACAAGGCAGCCTCCATACTCACAAGGACAAGCAGGACTCCTCTTCCAAGCCGGGAGTCTACCGCATTCCATGCGAATGCGGCAAAGTCTACATCGGCGAAACCGGTCGGAACCTTCCCACTAGGCTCAAGGAACACAGAGCACATGGACGGCGAGGGGATTTTGACAAATCGGCCATTGTCAAACATTCCCACATCAACGACCACAAAGTTGATTGGGATGCGGCCGAACTCATCGCACCGATCCAGTTCTGGCATCCAAGACGCATACGGGAAGCCATCGAGATCTGCAAGCACAACACAGTTCAGCAAGACATCGGGTTTCACCTCAACGACATCTGGCTCCCACTTCTCCAGACTGATGGGTTTCCTATACCCTAGGTCCTCAGCTACTACCTTAGACTGATGGGTCTCCTATACCCTAGGTCCTCCCTCTACTGACACTGCAACCCTACTGTTCCACTTCAGTGGGCACTAAGCTTGCTCAGGGATCCTGTCTACTTGGCATCCCCACAGGATGCAACTTCACACTCCATTGATTTCACCTTTTGCTACCTAAGTATTCACTTTCTTAGAGTTTAGGCACTCTCCTGACTTTGAAGACGGTCAGAGCATACTGACCGGAACGTCGAGTTTATACCTCTGGTTCTTTTCAGAACCATTCTCTTCCGCAAACCTTTCATTATTCATTTTGTAGAAGTTAGTATACTTTTAAATAGACCGTCAAGTTGAAAAGTGGCCTCTTGAGGCAAACACTTGTTGGCACACTGGCACTACATTTTTCTTAATTGTAGACAAGATGGGTGCTAAGGTAGACTATGGAATATTCTCATGCATAGCAAGGGTCTATCATATGTGAGCAGATTCGGCAAGTAATTAATGCAAAACAAGACTGTGTCTTGATCTCGAGATTCTGACCATTCAGCGGGCACCTTCTATATCGGGTCTTCGGTAACCTGCTGT